TCTATCAGATATATGCAGTCCTCGGAGCATACTTTCAATTGCACTGACCTTCTGCTTGCTTGACTGTAACACACTTTCAAGACTACGTTCAGAACCTTTATTGACATCTTTTGATTGCGAAAGAAGTAACCCAGAAGAAAGAGATCCTCCAGTTGATAAATTTGAACTTCTATCCATAGCAACTATAGCTGATGTTCCATATCCAGGTAGATTAGATGGAGCAGACGTCTGAGAAAATGAAGGCTGGGAATGCCTCTCACGGACAGAAGGTGAGGCGTGTCTCCTATGAATTCCACCATCTTCTTCATTTATTAGCTGAGAACAAATAGAATGCCTTATTATACTCATTGATGCTATTAAGAAAAATATAGAGAGTTGATAAGCCTTACCCTTTGAATGACAGGGTCAAAGGAGGAAAACAAACGACGAGAACGATCAGGCCAAGTTTTTGCAAACATTCTGTAGCACATTCTAGCAGTTGCTCGTACCTGTTATTCAGTATATTTATAGCTTTCAATGGCACATGGGAAAGAGATAGATGGGCATTAAAAAAACAACACTACAAATCATTTGATACTATTGACTCAAAACATACATCCCATGTAAAGTTGCATTCCATCCTAATAACTGCCTTACCACAGAGATACCCAAGGAACCATAAACCTACTTCATAGCATTTGCAGCATAACATCTGGTCCTATGGAAAATAGTACCACAAACCTACCTCACTCATAGCATCTGCAACACAGCATCTAATCAGATCTTCATATAGATCAACTGATCGCTGAATTTCTGGAGCATCAGGCCAATGTTCGAGTGTTAACAATGCATATTCACAACATCTGTATTAAAAAATTGGGATCAATTTTCGGAACACCACAAATTATAAATTTGATACAGAACCTCCGGCTTACCTTGCTCGCAGAATTGCATTACGGTCATGTTTTGCTGATTCAGCTATCCGAGGAAGTACACGGGCAGCTTTGCAGTTACGCAGCATCTGGAATAGCAAGAAACCATCTGTGTAAGCATAAAACTTAGACGAGCAGGCCAGGTTCTAGAAACCAAAATAAGCAAGCTAATAATTTACCGTTTTTATGCAGTTATCAGCAGATTCGGCAATTACAAGCACAGTGATCACAACCAGCTTGAAAAGCACCTGATAACCATATACTAATATTAACAAGAATGTGTATGTGTTAAATGTAATGGCAGTAAATGCGAGGACATTAAGCTTACTGGAATAAACATCTCAGCGCATGCTTCAAAATCTCCGAGTAACTCTTTTGATAAGAGACACAATAGATGACAGGCCTACAAACACGAGAAACAGGATATGAAGGAAAAGGCAATGGCAAAAATGGTTATCAAAACTACATAAGATAGGATGCATTAATCTTATACACCGTTCACCCCTACTGGCCTATTGGAATTGTATCTACTAGCAAAATGTCTTTTCTGGCTATAATGAATATAAGATTTACAAAGATAAACGGTGTTGGCGTAGAAAAAATATGAACTTTCTATAAATTAAGTATTCAGTGAAAATGGAATATGTCACCTAGTTGCCAACTTATCAATTATGTTTTACAAGGAAAAAAGAATCACAATACATTGTCAATCCTAATAATGACAATATCAAATCGAAAATTTCGCTAACCTGCTTAACAATGGTAGATCTCCGGTCCGCTAATTGAGTACTTAAGGGACCAACAAGTTGTTTCAAGAGACCTCGAAAGCAAGAGTAATCAGTCGCACCTTCAACAGAAATAAAAAGATTTCATGAGATTAAATACAAGAAATTTCCCCTGCTGCTGTAAGAAAATATCATTGGACACAATCAAATCAAATGAAACTTAGTTTCAAAGATAAACAGACAAAAAGTATAGACGTAGTACCTCCTGCAACAAGTCCTTCAACCCTCCGCATAGCTGAAATACGCAATGACCAGTCTTTCTCTGGGACAAGTGTTGCAGCAACTTTCTCAAATTCTCGTATCAACTCCTTCTCTGAGTACACTTTGATGGGGTCAATGGGTTTTTCAGTGATGTCGGGATCTCCTGAAATGAACATGTACAGAACCAGTCAGCCGAGATGGAAATATTACAACACCAAGTTTTAGACTTTAATAATTGAGAGCAAGATTTTCACCCCCAAATAAAGAGTTCTCTCTTGTGGGAGCCTTTGCCCTGGGACTGCTCTTTTTGGGATTGACACTTGATGCCTTAACCTCATTAACAACATGGTGACCACTACGGGGTTCTGTAGAACGCTGTTGTGGCTCAATACGTTCTAGTCTAGCATTAATGTCCTTCACCTGATTAAAACAAGAGAAAGAGTAGTAGCAAAGAGTGCCCCATGACAGAAGCCATATTATTCTCTATCAAAGTACACTAAGTTAAGATGCAGATGAAAACTAGTAATATGCATTATGCATTCTTGCATATGGATTAATCTAAATCTGAGATTTACCATGTATGATGGAAGATGGTGGCGCTGAAGCTCTTCTCGAAACTGAGACCCACCTTGCATATACATCTCCTGAGAAAAACAAGAATTATGATATTATCATCGAACACGAAATAGAGCATCTGGATCCTAAATTCTATGGATTCTCTAAAACAAATAGACATATAGCCAGAGAGGAAGAAGTTCTCTACTCAAACAGCACTCAAAATTGAATGTATACACTACTAAGTACTTACTATCTCAGTCATAAATAATGATAATTAGGGGAGAGTCTGCCTTAATGAATAAATAAAAAGAACGGCTTTTAACAGCTGAGCTGTAAACAAGAAATCGTCACTTAAGTAGTTGAAAACGAGTTGAAGAAAAGGATGGTACAAACTTTTACCTCAATGCACAAAATTGCAGCTTCCCTAACAGCTTGATTAGGGTCATTTAACATCTGAAGTATCTGATAAAACAAACGAATACTCACGATCAGTTTAAATTCAATTCAATAGAACGAAACCATAATTCATATTCTAGCCAACTAGCTTCCAAAGGGAGAGATAGAGATACCGGAGCAAGTATAACACGCTGAAGAGGAAGTTCCGTAGATGCAAAAAGACCAATAGCTGATGTAACAGTACGCGCAAACTCTTCTCTAACTCTCCAACTCTTATGCATCCAAGCATACGAACCCGCTCTTTCAACTATAATCGTCGGAGACGAAACCTAAAAACAAAAAAAGAAACACTAAACTAAGAAGCCAATGCAAATTCCGTCAATAAACAATTCGAATGTTAGTAAAATCTGGACCTCCATAAGAGTCGTGAGCAACCGCCTCGCAGCATCCCTAACAGGTTGCTTACTATCACCGAGGCGCTCGACAACGGCAGGAACAAGGGCATTCAAATGAAGCTTCAAATGCTCACCGGCGAGCACAGCGGCAGAAGCAAGCGCTTGAAGCGCACCTTGAGAGACTCTAAAATTACTATCCTTGAGGAGATCCAAACAACAATCAACAAGTGACGTCACTTCCGCAGGGCTCAAACTCTTCCTAGAAGCTTCGAGAAGTTGATGCAGCCGTTCCACAGCCGCCATGCGCTCCTTTGTATCCTTGGCCCTCGCCATTTCTAAAGCTTCCTCCATGTTTACCAACCGACGATTCCGATCTGACTCTACTCCCTTCAGATCTGCTTCAATCTCTAATCGGAACTACACCAACACACTCCAAATTCGAATCGACTCAACAATGAACAGAGAGAGAGAGAGCTGTGTTGTGTATAATCTCTCTGTACTGTGATTGAGAGAGTTTAGAGAGAGAGAAAAGGGATTTAGAGGAGAAGTGTCGTTTAATTTTTACTACTTAAGAAGAAAAGAGTAAAGTGGCGACTGCTTAAAGAAATAAACTCGAATTTTTATTTGAAGAAGGAAGATAAACGAAGCCATGTGGTTGGCTGGCGAACTCGAGAACTTTACCCTTGTTTTTCTTAATAATTACTGTTACATGCCACTCCTTATGTTTATTATGGTCTGAACTTAATCGCCGGTCGCGATTCCGATCGGTTTAATCCGGTTTGATTGGTCTGAAGATGTATTATAATGTGGATAAAACTGGGTTGGTGCATATTGATAAGTTGATCCAATCATGTACGTATCTGATTAAAAAGTTTGATCAAACATAAAAAAAACATAGAATATGTAACACCAAATCCAGACAAAACATAGGATAAAATGCAAATACTCAATGTTTGGTAAAAGTTCGTTAGAGAGAGAGGGGAGAAAAAAACAAGAAATTGCTTCACAATAAATTTATATGGAATGTTTATAATTTGATTAAATAACTTTACTTTAAGAAAAAAATTTAAAAACAAATCAAATTTGCATGTCTATCACCAACCTAACAAAGCTGGAATAAATCCAAATTTTATGTAGTAATCAAATTCTAGTCAATCAGAGTTATTAAAAAAGACTTATCATAGTTAAGATATGTTAAAAATAGCTATAGATGAATTCTAATCAAATAGTAATTTATTGTGAAATGAGTCCCATTAGTCGGATTAAAAACAATTCAACTACTGCTAGAATATATATATATATATATATATATATATATATATATATATATATATATAGTACCAAGAGGACTGATTATAATTATAAAAACGAAATTGAGTTTATCAAAGTTGAAAATTTGTTTAATTACAAATCACAAAACGTTGACGTGGCCGAATAAATGATGTGCACGCCGGCGGGTCTTTAAACAGCTGGTGCGGGCCAATAGAGATGAGAGGCGCAACGTAATTGACAATTTTCCCATTCTTTTATCACTTTCCCAATAAAACTGATAACATTGTTTGACTAATTAGAAAAAACAAATATTTGGATTAGGCAATGATATGATTAAGTATGAGAATTACAACTCTACTAACCGAAACTAGGCATCCTCTCGTTGCTAGTATTTTAGGGAGTAAGATTGCTTAAGATATTTCGAATGCAAATCTTAGGATTAAATTTTAAAAAACCGATTAAATTTGGAGATACTGCTAAACTTTAGGAAAAATAGCAAACTTGTATATTCAACATGATACGAGTGAACTTCTACATTTATAAGTATTCAAATTATGAATCATTCTAGTCTTGTGGAGACGCTTCCATTTCCATGGCAGCAGTTCCGTTTGATGCTGCAGGAGGTGTTATGGACTGAAAGCTCTGAGTACAACCAACGATTCTAAAGATTCCAGAATGCACATCTACGATTCTTCTGACTAATGCAAGGCGATCGCCATCATCATCACCAGCCCGATCCTTGCATGGGTCAGTGTACCTAATGTAGAAAATAGCATCATAGGCGTCAAGTCCCTTGTGAAAGGGCTCAAGGTCTCGTGGGATTTCCATAGCCACTTTGCGAATCTTCAGACCGCCAACACCGTGTTCGATACGGCGCCTATTAGTTGTGGCAACCGCAAGTTCCAAATACAGATGGATCCACTCATTCTTAAGAACCTCTGTTTTTTTCAGCTGCAAATATATACATATATATACACGACTAGTTTGTTGGTGATCGAATCATCACAAGGTAAAACACAGCTTTAAGAGTGGTTGATCGGGTTGTAATGAATTACCAGGCGAAATCGGCCAGTGTCATCTTGGAAAGGATTCTCTTCTGTAAGCAACTTAGGCATGAAATGTGGGAGAAAGTGGCCACACAACACATTACTTTCATCTATGTGATATCTCTTGGTTTCCACTATACAGAGAAAGAACTTGTTAAGTTGTATGTATACTAGCTATATTACCAACCAATAAAAATAATTATAATATAAAAATATATACAGTACCAGGATAAGGTCCAGAATTAGCGAAGACCAAAGCGAATCTGTTAAATGCAATCTCGTTAACTTGAGCCTGAAAAGTAGCAAGCGTAGGCTTGGTCTTGGCAGAAGCAGGATCCTTGGCTTTGAAAGTGATCTTGTAAGAGCAAGTAACAGAAAAAGTGGACTGGGTGTACTCCATTATGTTACAGGGCTGCACCTCTTGTCCCTAGGATTGAAAGCAGATATATATCTTTAGCTACAAGCAGATATATTTATCTTTAGCTACAAATGAGAAAACAAAGAAGAGAGATGAGTAGAGTAAACTAACCATGAGAAAATTGAAACGATGAAGGCCAAACCTAGCATAAAGGCGGACTATGGTACGACAAGAAACGTTGCGAACTTTGGAGTAAACGTACCGAATTCCTTTAAGGGCCTATGAACGGTACGTACAATTGTTACGTTATTATTAGTCTCCAAATTAAGAAGAAGCGAAGTTCATAAGGAAGCAGGAATATATAATTGATTACCCGGTCAGCTCTTCTCTCGGGATATACGATAATCTTCTGATCCTCGACACCCTCTTTTGAGCTCTTGATTATCATCACCGCCGGCAACATCTTCTCTTCGACGGATTTCGGAACCGATCGAGCGGCTGATGGAATGCTTTTACTCGATTTTATGCATGTTTTATGCACTCCACGCCATTTTTTATACCTCACTTCATTTTAGGCTTTTATTGGGCCTTCTCAGCCCATTTTTATAAAACATAATTATAACAATGTTAAACCATAAAGAAAAACCAAAAAACTCGAATATTGAATAAAATTTGTGTTAATAGAAGGAGAATGTTTTTTAAAAAGGAAATAAATAAATAAATATATATTTATATTTATATTTTTAAAATTTTTATGAGATTTAAGAATATTTTTTTTTCTTATTTTTTTTTTTAAACTATATGAATTAAAGGTTTTGAATTTTATTTCCATAACAATCAAATTAAGGGTATAATTGAGTATTTTTCTATTCTAAATCCTAATATACCAAGCTTTTTTAGAAAATCATAGATTGAAAAATTGAAAAAATGGTATCCTTTTAGATCAAAATTTCAATAAATTTCTGAGATTTTAGCAAAACTAAATATAAAAAAACTATATTTCAATTACTAACCATTCTAACCACTAAAAGATGATATACCATATATAAATTATAATATATACCAATTTAACCTTACCATCACTATTCTCTACCTTTTAAACACCACCACCGCCACCTCCGGCTGCCGGCCACCATCACTTCCGGCTGCGGCCACCGTCACCGTCGATCACCACTGGTCACCACCACCTTAGAACCACCCACCACTATCACCACCACCTTACAAAACATGTTTCATTAGTTCCACACTTCACAAACCTCAAATTCAGTTAAATATTTAGGGATTTAAAGATTTAAGGATAGATAGTTTATTTGTGATCGGATAATATCCGAACCCGATTGGATATCCGATTTTTATGAAAACTAAACCCGATAGGGTATTACACACTATCCATATCCGAACCGAACTGCCTACTTCGGGTCGGGTTCGGATTTCGGGTACGGTTAATATGCCGAGACCTAAGGTATCCTGGGCCATGCACAAAGTTGTAACATTTTTTTGGTCTAAACTGGAACGTTCAGGATTAAACCATTGGTTCGGTCGGATAAAACCGAGTTGGTCTTCTGTTACTCCCATGATCTCTCCCCGGCCCTATTTAAAACGTTTTAGTTCCAATCTTTTTTACTAGATTGGACGACTTTGAAGTCTTTGATTAGGGTTAGAGATTAAGTTAAGTCAAATTTTGGATGAATTGTTTGTTTCTCTGAAAATTGTGTTTTCATCTTCTGTAATACAGAAGAAAGGACATGAAGGAAGATAGAATAAGCCAATTACCAGATGCTTTGATCTGTCAGATACTTACTCATCTTCCCACAAAGAATGCTGTTAAGACAAGCGTTTTGTCCACCAGATGGACAAATCTCTGGCTTTGGCTTCCTCGTTTGGAGTTGTCATTTTCGAACATTTTCAATGCCTTGGGGAGTTTTGGTGACAGATTTTACGATTCCAATAGGGTTTCATGCATAGACAAGCTCAAGTTAAGTATTACCAATAGAACTTTCATCAGCGTCAATGATGTCGCTTATCTTACGTCGTGGGTTGCTGCTGCAGTTAAACGTAGGATCCAACATCTAGAAGCTAAGTGTGATCCATCTACTTGTATGTATCGTTATCAGATCCCTTTAAGCCTTTATATAATTGTGACACACTGGTATCCTTGAAACTTGGGAAAGCGGCATGGGCTAGTGCCGAGTTTGTTTCCTTACCTTGTTTGAAGATTATGCATTTACACAACAATAGAGGCACTTGTTTCATGTTGTCCTGTCTTAGAAGAGTTAGAGATTTTCGATTTTTTGGATCTTCTTAAAGTCTATCGGGTGCATTCTCAGTCACTGAAGAGGTTCGCTTTTTTTCAGATGGTTTTCTTCTGTTCCTGAACTTGTCATTGAGGCTCCTGGACTATGCGGTTTGAAAATATTGGATACAGTATCAAATATCGTTATAACAAACATTCTGGAGTCCATAGCCAAGTTAGATATTGCTCTCCGCTTTGGTTTCAATGATTTTAATTCAAACGTTAGAGAACGATATCTTCACACTCACGAGTGTAACAAGATCACCAAATCAGTCAGCCAATTTTGTCAATCCCATCGGCTTAGACCCATTTTCTCATGCATGTTTGTCTCCCTCATTCTGTGTAGGAAACTATACTTGTCAAGTTTCAATCCTCAATCTAATTGACTACTCACACGATTGAGAAAGAACTTGAAAATTATGTGAAACAAAAAAAATACAGAACTAAAATTAGCACAAGAATTTACTTAGTTCACGGTTCGATTTGAACTGCTTCATCTCACCAGACGTAAGATCCCAAATCATATTCTAGAGAGTACTCAAAGAGTGAGAAACAAAGCATACACTAAACTTTGAACGAGTGACTGAACGAAACTAAAAAAAAAGTCAGGTTTCAGTTATCAAATAGTGTCCCATAGTAAATCACATATGGTTAAGCTCAGACGTAAGATCCCAAAGTCATATTTTAGAGATCACTCAAAAAGTGAGAAACAGACACATGATACACTAAACAGAGCACACAACTTTCTCTGTTAACATAAAACAAAAGATGGATTGTATCACGGCAAATCTGACAAGAACTCTCAGACTTCTTCTCAAAGAATCAGATATAAAACTACACAGAAAAAAGAAAACTCATTGCACCAATCATTTTAAACAAGTCAGAGAAGACTCGATTGTTGCACACAACTTCCTCTGTTTACATAAACAGAGATGGATTGCTTCACGTAAACCTAACAAAATCTCTCAGACATAAGCTTCTCTAAGAATCAGATATAAACTACAAGAATCAGTGGTGTGAACACCAATAACAGTAAGACCTTCCAGAACAAAATTTAGCTGTCACGTAGTTTACCTACAAGACAACACTTCGAGAACACACAATACAATTATACTAATAACACTTGAATGTCACAAATAAATAATTCAATGCAGTTTTCTGATATTCATAAGTTTACAATTTAAATGGATAATGTTGTTATACAAAGAATCACATCATGCGTTGCAACAAGGCTTTTATTCTCACCACATCAGTCCTTCGTAGAACTTTTACAAACTAAACTAAACCCAAAACAATTTGTATCGCAAGCTCAACAAAAAAATTAAACTTAGCAATCTGCTCTAAATGATATGAACACACACATTACAAACAGAGTCATAACACTCATAAAATGAGTTAAAACAAACTTTATACATGATAACAACATCTAAGATTTCATCCATTGTTGGATATGGGCCTCAATTCGCGAGCCCCTTTCCACTATTTACCTGCCCGGCCCGGGGGAGAGCGAGTGACGTGGCGCTAACCCGCGGAAGACGACAAGAAACGAGTATCCGGGCCTCAAACGATCAGCCCATTAGGCCACGCGCCAAAGTCGGTGTCCTGTCACATCATTCTCCTATAAAAGGAAAGAGAATTGATGTGACAAGACATCAAGTACACAGACAGAGGACAGAAGTACTCCGCAGAGCTCGGCTTTAGTAACTTAGATTGTCGAACAGATTAATAACCTTTCTTTCTTGTAACTGCCGATCTCTGACTTGTAAAGACGAACCTTTTACCCCGACCTTGAATTAATATCCTTGACATCCCCCTTTGTGCCGAGCACTATACAACATCCATCTGTGGCTGAATCCCAATAACCAAGGTCAGAACATAACAAGAATAGCAACGAGAAAGCATAAAACTATAAAAGTAACATGAAAAATATTGTAAAGAGGCTAGAATATTTACAAAGTAATGAGAACTGATGTACATGCTATTCAGCTTCAACAGTAAGAAGTGGTCAAGTCTATATATACATTTATAATAATCCATCATCAATCATATGAAACAATGTAAGAGGAAACAAGATAACCATTGAAAAAAAAAAAACATGTCATCATTGAGAAATCTCAACAAACAAGGGGCATAAAAGTTTATAACAAGAATACAGAGAAGGGCATACAATATATTTCCAGAGAGAAGAGAACCGAGAAGTAACAAACAACAAGGTCTAGTCACCTAAAGACATTGCACCAACCAATAATTTTACTCTCCACAGAACTACTAAAAACAAAGTCATAAGACTCAGAAAATGAGTAAATGCAAACTATACATGATGATGATCGTAACATGAATAATAACCAAGGAAAGCCATAACAAGAATATCAAGAAGAAATAATATAACTACAAATGAAACAAACATATTCAAAATCAGATACAAAAGATTTTAAAAGCAAAGACATCCATGTGTTATTCAACTTCAAGCTTAAAAAGTGGTCAATTTTATAGACCAAGTGTAACAAATCATCATCAATCACAGGAAAGAAAGTTAGAAGGAAAGCATAAAATAAGTATTTAAGCTGAAAGCATCGAGAAGCATCAAGCTGAATAACTTAAAACTGAACAGTCTGATCTGGATTAGAAATTACCATATATTAAGTGACTTTAATCCAAACTTAACAGTAACAGCTTATAGGAATTCAATATTCCTTCATGGAGAAAGTATGCTAATAAGGATATATACATACAAGTTAGAAAGAAACTTAAGAAGAGACAATATGCATGATTTTGAAAGATATTACAGTTCTTATAATGGAAATATGAGGAAGAGTAACCTGAAAGTCTTATGCTGATTTTTAAGAGCTGAAGAATAGCCACCTGCAAAGAATATGTGATGTTAGAAGATGTATGTAAGTAGTTTAATACTCCTAATGTTTACACAACATGAAATTATTAAACGACAGAAAACCAAAAAAGAAGAAGATTAAGCGTAAAAGCAATAGTACAACGAAACATAAGATATAGAAGAAATAGAAATTCACATACCTTATCTCACATATGCAGAATATAAAAAAAAATCCACATGCTCATGTATGGTCATACTTCTACTTCTGCATATTGATCCTGAAAATATATTTTAAGCAAGTCAGAAGGTTAAGTAGTTACCTGATTTACGTCAATCCACATGCTCCATGTATCTCATACTTTTGCATTTGTTTTCAGCTCAGGGACTACAAACCCGAGACTAGACAGCATTGGAACTGTCTCATTTTCATTATAACATCACGGAAAGGGACATTCAGAGAGGTAATTTAGATTACCTTGACCGAGACGAGGCATTTGTTTTCAGTTCGGGGACTAGAAACCCGAGACTTGACAGAATGGGCACTGTCTCATTTTCATTACAACTTCAGGGACAGGGACATTTAAAGAGGTAATTTTGATTACCTCGAATGGGACGAGGCATTTGTTTTCAGCTCGGGGACAAGAAACCCGAGACTAGACAGAATGGGAACTGTCTCATTTTCATTCCAGCTTCAGGGACAAGGACATTCAGAGAGGTAATTTTGATTACCTTTAATGGGACGAGGCATTTGTTTTCAGCTCGGGGACTAGAAACCCGAGCCTTGACAGCTTGAGAACTGTCTCATTTTCATTCCAATTTTCGGGGCAGGGACATATAGAGAGGTAATTTAGATTACCTTGACCGAGACGAGGCATTTGTTTTCAGCTCAAGGGACTAGAAACCCGAGACTTGACAGAATGGGAACTGTCTCATTTTCATTCCAACTTCAGGGACAGGGACATTTAAAGAGGTAATTTTGATTACCTCGAATGGGATGAGGCATTTGTTTTCAGCTCAGGGGACTAGAAACCCGAGACTTGACAGAATGAGAACTGTCTCATTTTCATTCTAACATTAGGGACAGGGACATTCAGAGAGGTAATTTAGATTACCTCGAATGGGACGAGGCATTTGATTACAACCAGATGATTATGAACTCGACTTGGGACTGTGATGTTTTCATTCAAAGGGACAAGGACAATGAGACAGGTAAGTTTTATTACCTCGAGACCATGCTTTTTTCAGCTTGATGAATATGACCGTGGGGAATTTAAAAATCTGGGCAGTCTCACTATTGTTATACTAGTCTCACTTCCATTATACCATCAGGAACATAGTCATTCGGAGCCAATTAACCAGCCTGATATAGAACATTAAGTAAAAATTGAGAATCCAAACTAAATTTAAGTTAACATGCCCAAAATCAAAAGCATGATTTAAGCTGGAATGGTTAAAAGTTAAAACTACTGGTAATGAGATTCACCTCATTAGCTCCAAACTCCACAGAAGAAGTCTCTTGTTTGTAGAAAGTTCAAGCTGATAGGTCCATAGTCCCAACTTTGAATGATCCTTTGCTTTAATTTCAGGAACTGAAACAACATCAAAGAGAACTTAAAGTCACATAAACGATATAAAGAAACAAAGTCAAGTACAAGCATCGTAACACAAAACTAGAGATCTGAAACACGCCCAAATCGTTTTGAAAAAACTCCCAAATCGACGATGTAAAACCAAAGAGAAATAATCAGTAAACGATGAAATTGAGGATTGTAAACAAAAACCCTAAAAATTGATACTGCAATTCCTAAATCTAACACTTTTCTTCTCAAATCAGAGAATCAGTAAACCCTAAAACTATGTGTTCTTATATAATCCAAGAATTTGAAATCAATTTCACCGACGAAATCTAAAATTTCAAAAGAAAACGATGAAAAGAAAAGAAAAGAGCAAAGGAACCTACCGATTCAAACGAAAACACCGCTCGTCCTCTCCTCCGTCTCTCCATTAATGAAATCGAACCATCACGATTCACGAAGAGCCCATAAGTATAGTCAATCATCATCGCCACAACACTACCGATTGATTAATTCCTCCATTGTTGCATCCATACTTAAACTAATCAAGCCACATAACCATGGTTTAACGTAAGAGAGAGAGGGAGAGAGAGGGAGAGAGAGAATGAGAATGAGAATGAAAGTTTTGCTTATTTGTTTACTTCGATTCAGAATAAAATAGGAAAAATATCACTAACGGTCATAAAAATATTTGGGATTGAATGACGTGGCAGTTTAACACGCTCCAAAAAGATGTATGTATACTACAGATTTGATCCAAAATATATATATATACTATATATTCAATATGATATGAATGAACTTCCATATTTATGAGTTACAAACAGTCAAACAATTTGTGTTCAAACATAAAATGTTAAACTATTAGTATATTTCTTAAAATTACACACAAAAATAAATTTATTGCTTAAGCAAAAAAAAAAAAAACCTCATTTCTTTAATAATATACCAAACTACCATATTCAACATGATATAAATTATAATTTTCCACATTTATGAGTTACAGTCAAACAATTTGTATTCAAACATATAAAGGTAAATAACTAGTATATTTCTTAATATTACACCCCAAAAAAAAATACACTTCTGAAATTTGGTCATCTCACAATTCTATATATATATTTTCAGTAGTCACCCAAATTTTCTTAGGTCTATCAACCAAAATCATATTAGTACTTTTTGTTTGTTTGTTTAAAGGGATTAGTGTTAGTAATAATACTGAAAGTGGAAAGCAAACATCTATGGCAAAGACATCTTTCACACTCGTTCTCCCAATCATCTTCCTTGTTGTTATGTTCGCCTTAGGTACACTATTATTATCTTTATCTCCTAATAAAAACGTAGTTCCTCTTAATATTTGCCTTATGAATACAATTATCTTTAAGGTTTACTCAATCACTCTAACCAGTTTTCAAAAGCTTCCACAGAAGTGTCTACTTGAATTTGAACTTGGGTTTTATTTCTTTGGTATAACATCTCAAATATTGTAGTTGGATGGTTTTGTTGGAAATATAGTTGAGCAAAATATGGGATGCACGGCAAGTATGGGACCGTGCGAAAAGGATAAAAGCTGTAGTGCCAAATGCAGAGCTACATTTGGAGATAAGGCTAATGGCTTCTGTGATCGTAGCACTGGTGGAGCTGGAGAATGTGTTTGCGTCTACCCTTGTCCGCCTCATCCGGAATCCCCTATGTCATTTCTACTTTGAAATATTTTTAGTTTCTTCAAACTCTCTATATACTGTATGTTGAAATTAAATGGTTGAAATATCCAAATTATGCAGTTAATTTTCTAATCATTAATTCTTAAAAAGACTATAAAGAACAAGATATATATGTTGATAAAGACTTCTAGCCAACTGATTAAATTTCGATACACCGCCCAACTGATAATATATAGTACAAGACATCGGCTCATAAGTTGATTAATTATAGGAATGAAATAGTGATTTTCAGGCTACGGGTCATCATCATACATGATATATCTACGGGTCATCATCGTAAGGAACGTGTGAAGCAAATGATGAAGGTAAAACGAAGATGGGCTCTCCATTGTGTTGAAATTCACAGAGTAGAGTAGAATGTTCAGCTGCTTGGTTAATGCAGCTATTCCCGGTCATGTCAAGACGTTTGAGGTCACCTGAACACAAGCATCATACATATTAATCAGAAAATGGCCCAACAATCTAACTGATCAAACCGATCCCAGAATGTTATTACCTTTTGCGGTTCTCAGGGAATCACATAGCATGAGCAACGATTCAGGTGGCATCAGATTGTAAGATGCGTCTACTGAGATAAGTCTTGGTGCCAAGGGTATGAGCTTTGACAGGAATCTAGCAGTCTCTAGTCCTCCGCGGTTTTTGCTATAGCGGGGTAACAGCTAAACAAACGTGAGGACACTGTGAAGGCAAAGCGAAATGTATACAAAAAATATAGGATATGGATTCTGCTGTGGACCTTATATTAATACTCAGCAGCTTCTTCGACCCTTTTTCAAGTTTTCTGCCTAATGCAAGAAACCCGAGAGGACCTAGTCCTATACCCGAAATATTGATAGACTCGACAGAGAATGTAAAAGCGTTTACTATGGCCTCCGCAACCTCACTGAAGAACAAGAATAATAAGAAAACAGACAAACTTCATACCGGTATAATGTGATAAAGAGTTTGTAACTTTATGAATACCTTCCAAGGGCATTATCTGCAACAGATAGGAACTTTAAAGGTTTCTCAAGCATAGAGAGGGTATCAAGAAACTCAATAACTCCACAAGATGATAGCTCACAGTTTTCCAAATCCAAATCGGCTAAACAAGAATTCAGATTCTTTTTGAAGTAAGATATTAAGCTTCTGTACCACCCAGAAAAAGCATGTAAGAGAAATGCTGCAACTGTGTTGATCTTATTTAACCAAGATTACAAATGCAGGGACTAGAGGACACACCTGATCCCACTGTCCTTTATGGGATTTCCACTCAGGTTAAGAGATTCTAAGCCGGGCATAAGAAAAAGTGCATGTGCAAGATTCTCTGCATCGTATTTGTTGAGTTCATTTCCCCTAAAAAAACATTTCTAACCGTATCACAAGGTTTCCAGTCTTACGACTTTAAGAATTGTCTCTTTACGAGGGAGTACCTTAAGTTGAGCTTGCACAGAGACCGTAAAGACTTTCCAGATGACGGAGAACCAACAACAGATCTCCAGCAAAAAGTTGAAAGCCATCCTGAAATCTATATACCATATACAGGTCAGCCATGAAAAGCAAGCCATATATCAATATGAACAAAAGAACCACGGTGGTACCCACATTGTTTTCAGAGAGATCAAGGGACGAAAGGTTTGAAGAAGAATCAAGAAGTGTAGAGAAAACCATCCTCGTGATATGCCTATCGAGATTGCTATCGCAAAAATGTAAGGAATGTAATGTCCTGAAAGAAAAAAAGATGCTCACTAAAATAATCAGAAAACAAAAAACATGCATTATGATTTTACAATGTTTATGATGAGACCTTGATAGTCAAATGAGTAAACATTTTATAATGACACGCTTTGGCATCAGTTCATATATATACCTCACCGACATCAGGAATGAAACGAAAGCAGGAGGCGCAGCAAGTGGATCTAGCTCAATGCTAGATGTCTTTATACAGAAGCGTTGCATCCCAGTTGTGTAGATACCATTTTCATGAAGAGAGGCGCATATTGCACTGATGGAATTTGAAGAAAGCTTACAGTGAATAAATTCAAGTGAAGTTAACGTATCTCTGCTCTGGATCAAGAGCTTGCACAAGTGCTCAACCTGAAGTATAATGGATCATCAGCAGTAAATTTTCAGCTAACCAAACCTACGAGACTAAATAATGAAAGTGCCTTACATGTTTCTCGGATCTGATCCAACGTAGAACTAAATGTTGCAATTTACTTGTCCTCAATAACTCCTACAGTAACAAAGCCTAAATATTAATTATGTCCTCCCTCGGTTGAATGATTGATTTGTCTACAAAGATATAGATTTTAAGTTCTAAGAGAAAGGTGAATGATTGCTCTGGATCAAAAGCAACACAAAATAGCACCGCGATCAGAGATGCTAAAGAGAAATAAACAAATATGACTCTATTTACAAGCACAGAAACACTCCAATACGTCAGAGCATAGTTTAATAACTTACAGAAGTTTCTGCAACGCAGAGCACATTCAGAAGCCTCAGACACCTGCAACAGGTAAGAACAAACAAAAAGAAGCATAAGTATGATAGAGTGTTAAATCAGTCCAGACCAGATATCTTACGCACAACCAGTCATGGGCAATATAAAACCTAGGCAAGCTGAAAGTAATATAGTGAGTCCATAAATGGAAGGAACATGTGAGGCAATGAAACGATTATTAATCAGAAAAACATGAAAAGTTACTCAACCTAAGATACGGTCCAAAAGTCTTGAAATGAAAAGATAGCTTTTTGCAAACACATTTTTGACAACTAACGTGCTCTTCATGGCAAATGAATCTCAATATGTTATCTGCAACAGAAAATACAACAAAATGCATAGTGATTCTTATACAACTGACAATTCATCCCAAGAAATTCAGAACAACACGTACCTGATACATTAATAGAACATATCCGACCACTAAATGTGGGACGCAGAGCTACCTCAGCTGCTTCATCAGCACAACTGTTACTCGGATTAATATAAAATTCAAAAAGGAAGTGAAATGAAAAGAATAAACAACAAATCATCGACCATTTCATTAGAATTGGCATACTTCTGCAGATGCTTTTCCCAGTAAAGCTGTTGCCAATCAGCGGGTGATTCCACATGGTCAATGAACTCAGGCCAACGCAGCTTAAACAACACCTTCCAAGAGCTACCAAGTACATCATTTCTGCAGATGAATTTTCAGTTTACTCTTTCTCAGTCCGCCTTCTCAATTCGAATTAATCAAAAGAAGAATGCATCAAACCTTGCACGTTTTCTCCCATTAATCAAGCAATCATCACCAGATTCATAATCACCCCAACAATGGAACGGCCTATACCAATTCTCCAGAAAGTAAATTAAATATGAGTTATATCATCTTACTCCACCCAAATTTTGTAAACCAAAACCTTCAATTTCTAGGCAAAAGCTTAATCTTAAACTAAACCAAAGAGTCAGTCTCAGTACTACTGACATGTGGGACTGAAAATTCTGCAAAGCAAGTGCAGGCAAGTGAGCGACAACACCATCAAGCAACTCCGACGGAAGCTCGTATAGATCAGGAATCGGATCTTCGCCTGGAAAATACACAAAAACCCCAAACTCAAATCAGCCAAAATTTTTGAATCAAATTGGCGCAAAACTGAAATTTTGTGTATAATATTCAAAATTACTTTGTAGGAGCTGAAGCTTGAGAGATTGGATGCAGAGAAACGCAAGGGATGGAGAAGCTTTCGTCATCCTAACCAGAGAGAAGAGAGAAATCTTCCCGCTGCTCTCAAGCTGTTTCTCTCCCAAAGAGTAAAAGAGTAATGGGCCGAAGAGAATGGCCCAATTAGTAAACCTCAAAGGCCCAAGTAATTAACGTGAGTCAAATCAATGTTTTTTAGTTTATATATTAGTCCGGACATAAACAAAACCCTAAAGCTTTCTACCGAAAAGTAAAAAAAAATCTAAAGCTGTCTCTCAGTTCCACTCCACTTGAGCTCTGTCTCTTTTCACCACTCTCGAGAATTTGAAAAGTCCGATGCCGAAGAAGCTTCTCAACCCTTTGGAAGATCCACCAACCGCGTCTTCAAGCGAAGATGAAGAAGTTGAGCACTCATCTAGCGAAGATGAAGAACAGATCTCCAACCCTTCCTCTGAAGAAGACGAACCCAAAGATCCGGCCACTGAAACCCTAAAAACTCCTTCTCCGGCTAAACCCGCCGTTTCTCTAAGTTCCGGATCTGAGACGGGTTCTGACTCCGAATCTGAACCAGCAGAGAAGACCGTCGCTGTCACCGCCGCCAAGTCCAAGAAGAAGAAGAGTGAGGTTTCTACTCCGGTTAAGTCAGGGAAGAAGCGAGGGAGTGAAGCGACGACCTCCACCAACACCAAGGAACATGCAAAACGAGCCAAGAAGGTTTCAGGAGATGATGAGAAAAGGAATGTTGTGCAAGTTGACAAAAAGCCTCGTTTTCAGAGACTTTGGAGTGAAGAAGATGAGATCTCTCTGTTACAAGGCATGATTGATTTCAAAGCTGAGAAAGGTACCAGTCCTTATGATGACATGAATGGGTTCTTTGATGAATACAAGAAATGTATTAGCTTTAATGTTAGCAAAACCCAGTTTTCTGACAAGATTAGGTCTTTGAGGAACAAGTATAGGGGTAAAGATAACAAGGGTAACAAAACATTTTCGAAATCTCATGACGAGAAATGTTTGCGATTGGCTAACTGTATTTGGGGATCTGATGGTTTGGCTCTTAATTCTGCTGTTAAGTCTCCTGTGAAATCGAAGAAGGTTGATCCTAAGAAGAAGAAGAAGAAGCTGGAGTCAGAGGTTGAAGATGAAGATAAGGAAGTGTTGGGATCTGATGCAATGGCTCTTGAATCTGTTGTTGTTAAGGCTAATGGGAATGGTAAGAAGGTGGAGTCTTTGAAACCTGAGGGTGAAAAGGTTGATCAAGATAACGAAGTGATGATTCTTGATGGAGATTCTGAGTCATCAAATTTGTTTGAAAACTCTTTCCTGATTCGCAGTATCGTCAGTCTCGGTTTGGATGAGTATTCTGTGAAGCAGAAGTGGAGCAAGATGCCGATAGAGACTAAGAAGAGAATCGAGGAGAAGCTGAAGATGGTGAAGGCTATGGAGTACAAATTGGTGGTGCAGAAGGCTGACGTTGTGAAGCAAGTAGCCTCTGTGATTAACGAAGCTGTCTAAGAACATGCAATTGGGATGTACAGGTTTATCGGTTTTAACCGTGGGGTTTAACGGAGATCCAATGCCTCTTTTTGGTAATCTATCTTATGGAGATGTAATGCCTCCTTTTGTTATCTATCTCTTATTAGGACTAATCTTTCTTATCTACGTTTCTGGTCTTTAGTCTTCTGGATTCTTAATCAAGACGATCAAGTTATTATGTAGTTGTCTAAATAGGCCTTTTGGTCGATGGTTGTAATGAGCTATGACTCTATATAACTAAGCTTGCCTCATGAAATTAGATTTATTATGCTGCAAAAGCATAAGTGTAGAGTAGATTAAAGAAAGTTATCCAAGAAATAATGTCCAAAGCGATGACTATGACAAAAGAATGAATATTTTATAAGAAAAAACAATAATGTTAAACAACAAAGGTGACACCTTTACAGACAAAGACGACCACCATTGAAAAAGTTTCTCCGATTCTCTCCTTATCCCCGAAAAATTCAAACTTTGCATTTGGAATTTCTGAGTAAAAATGCGGCGTAATTGCTGCCATGTTTCGTTTGCTTCTACGCTCAAGATCCTCAATTTTGTTCAAGCTTTCGTCGGTGTTTCGATCATTATCTACTCCATATGGATGCTCCATGAATACAACCGTCACCTACCCGTGGACCCGCCTCCGGTAGCTTCATCATCGAGCTCCGGAGTCGAGATCGTTAAGGTTTCTGAGCCCTTGAAGAATCCTATTGATTTCATGGCTAGTATCGTTCTCGGGTGGGCTAATGGTCCTGATCATGGGTTTAACCTACGCTCGTTGGATCTTCCTGCTCCATGGTACTGTTCTTCTCAGTATTCCTTTTTTCAATCTTAGGATTTCTTCAATTTAGTTTCCAATTTCAGGGTTTTACTCTAAAGTTTCCAAATTTCAGGGTTTTAATTAGTTTCATGTCACTTCAGCTTGATCTTGCTGTGGATTTGTAGTTCGTTAATTTGATAGTTTCAGCTCAAGCTTGGACTTGTACTTACTTCTCCATTAGTAATGAAGTAGATAAACAAAAGGGCAAGCTTTAAATGCCTTGAATTTGACTGGTTTTAGCTCAGCTACAGTTTGATACTTAAGGAACTTTTGCTTGATTTATTATGTTTTGAGTAAACCAAAACTCTTGTCTGTGCCTTCAGCTAATTCGGGTTTGCTGATTCAGTTTCTGTCATGCTTTTTGATACAGGTTCATCTACTCTTTCATGGCGGTTGGTATTTTGGTCTGCATTGTTACCTTCATTGGTTTCATAGCAGCTGAAGCGATCAATGGCTGTTGCTTGTGTTTTGTATCCTTATATAGACCATACTTCGCTTTTTTCCTATCTCTGTTTATAGGTCGAGTTTATTAATCTTCATGACAGTTATTGGAAATGGGTTTGCTGCGGTTTTTTTCCTTGACAGTTTTAAAGTACTCTGTTCTCAAAACTCTACTCATTCTACTCGAAGCTGCACTTGTTGCATACATAGCGATTGACCGTCAATGGGAAAAGGTGAGATCTTTCTTATGATCAAATCTTGTTTCTTGTGTCCTTGACTTGTTTCTAACTGCTTAGTATCTGTGTTCTGTAGGATCTTCCATATGATCCAACTGGAGAACTCATTAGTCTTAGGGCCTTCATTGAAGAAAACATCGATATATGCAAATGGCTCGGGATTGCTGTGGTAGCGGTCCAGGTAATTCAAATCAATCCTTTTTAACTTCGAGCATTTTCATGATGTATATTGTTATTAGAGAGTTTAAGGGCAAAACATGAATATTTCCTGTGATTTTTTCAGCTACTGTCTTTGCTATTAGCCATGGTTCTTAGAGCTATGGTTTCAACCCCGAAACCCGAGCTTGACGAAGAAGAAGACTATGAGAACCCGAGGGTTAGAGCTTGGGACCCACTTCTTGGTCCGCAAGGAAACCAAGCGCCTGCTGGGTCAAGTAAGATTGAAAACTGGAGCTCCCGAATCAGAGAAAAGGTAAAGCCGATAATTTCTTTTGGCTCGTGATACTCTACAGATCGGATAAGGCTTTGTGAATCTGTTGTTGATAAAACTTTTCCTTTGTGAAATTTTCTCTTGGCAGTATGGTTTGAACCAGAGTCAGGCGGTGAACCCAAAAGGCTGATGAAGCCAAATAAACCTGTTTCTAAAACTGCATGTGAAGCTTTCTTTCTCTGTGAAGCTTTCTTTCTCTGTTCTTTCTCGAATGTGCAACAACCACTTGCTCAAAATGGTACTTTATTGGGTTTACATTACAACAGCATAACATCTTCATTTGTGTTTGCCTGTACAAACAAACAATCGCATGAACAGTTTGAAATTAGCATTTCCACTATACAAATTTTACCTTTTTTTGTTGTTGCTGGTTTCAATTCCATTTATAAGACAATGAAAAGACAAAATTTAATTTGAATTGGGCACCAGAAACAGATTAATGTAAAATGTATCTATAGGTTAAACTTATACTTAAATTATATCATCTATATATGTTTTATTACAAAAGCTTATATCAATGTATATATACGTTCTTTCATCGAGTAAGATCGAAGACTGCCTCTTCAACCAACTCTTGCAGCAATATCACTTCAATTTCAATCCCCAAGTTGTTCATTTCCATTTCTCGACTATAACTCCACACTTTTCCGACAATCTCGTCACTCACCGCCCAGTCCTGTAACTCTGTCCAAACATGCTCCATCATGTCAAATCCCTTGGTCAAGCTGGTGCGTGCAAGTGTTGATGTTGTCACTTTTATGATGTCATTAACACAGTCAAAAACGAGTTTGCAGTTTGATCTTTGTTTCCTGCGTTTGATGAGCTCCTTGTTGGCACATTTGTCTCTTAGTGATGGGTCTAAGGGGCCATCTGGTGAGTGCCACCGGGCCATAAGCGAGTCACTACCGCTGAAACCAGACGCGGTTAAGAGCGTTTTGATGAAGCCATACCAGTCTTCATCTTCCTCAATTCCCATTGTGGAGTTAGTTGTGTCTGTGTATGACTCATCCTCCCATGAGAGAACCCGAGCAATTGATCCAATTGGAGGTGATTTGTCAATTAGATTAGATTTCAGAGACATTTCTTCTCCTGTGAAATGTGACGGCACAATTGTTACAATTGATTAACCCTTGTAAAGTTTAACACGAGAGAGCTAAAACTAACCTTCAGTGGTCCATGGCTTTGCTGATCCAGAACATTCCTCTCCGAAATCGAGCTGTAAAACCGAAACTGGACTCGGCTGGTCCTGGTTTTCATTTGCCACTTCTCCCTACAAACAAATCAATGGCAGATGAGTAAAACAAGAATGCTTTCCCAGAATGTTCTAAATTTCACTACTAGTTTTAGATTGTGGTTTACCTCGTTTGTAAATATGCTTTGTTGTCGAAATGCATCACGGTGTATAGCCAATTGAGATGGTGCAGCTGTCTTCTCCTTGTTTGATTTCTTATTCCGGAAGAAGAAGAAGCTTGAAACTTTCCATGAAGACTTTAAGCTTCTTGACTCAGTAAGCTCTCGGTGAGCTAGTGCTTTTGAGGTTTCACCATTGAGCCTAATTTCAGGGACTGACTTTGACCTTTCAAGGGTATTCAGGGAACCACTTGTGCTTTCAACTTCATCTAAACCGTTACCAATGCGTGAAATTGATTGCCTTGTTTCTTGTTTCACTTTGTTGCTCTCTTCATTGGATCCGGTAGGCGTTTTCGTCTCTGAAAGTGCAAGCATTTCCCCCAAAGCCGTTGAGGCCTTTTGTTGTCCCTGTGTTTCTCCGTTTAGTGACATCATTGCCCACCTCTCAGAGAGCCGTTTCTTTGCTTCTCTGTAGACAGATGAGTCTGGAGAAAACGAGACTCGGCTGAGTGAAGAGGAAGAGAAAGGACTCTCAAACCTGTTTGCACAGTCCCATGAGTGCCTAGAGGATGGTGACATGATCTCAGAGATGCTAATGTTTCCCACTGGATATTCGTTATTTGACCTGTGTAACGAACAATCATCACCGATATAGCCATTGGACAAGACAGAAGAAGAAGAAGAAAGAGTCTCGTTCCTGCAGTGACCCCCAAAAGTTTGGCGTATTTGACGTGTAATTTCCTTTGCCACTTCTCTAGTCTCAGCATCTCCAGCCTCGTCAAAATAAGGAGATGGTGAAGCAATAGCCTTTATATCTAGAGCCTTCCCAGGACTAGGCTTCAAGACAACTATTCGAGTTGGCTGCGCATCATTGATCCATCCAGTTTCCTGATCCAAAGAAGCCGATATCTTACTATCATCAACCACACATCTCTGAGCACCAACAGCCTTTGAAGGTCTCAATACCGTAATGCGCTTAGCCTCTGGATGAGGAGAAACAGGCTGAAACTCAGAAGTCTGCTGAGAAAACAAAGAGTTTGATTCCTGGAGAAACTTAACAAACAAATCTTTGTTGGAGCTCAAAACTTGGAGTGCTTCTTGGAACTCCTTGGACCTGTGAAGAGTCTTGTCATCTGTTGTTACCAAGTGTTTCGCTTCCATGAACTTCCGACGAACAAGATCCATCTGTTTATCACTCATACTTGCATCACACTTTCCTTTTCTTGAAAGGTTGGCTTTTTGATCCCAGATTTCATCTTCTCTATGATGCTTATGAAACTTCCCCGTTTCGTTACTACCCACACAAGTCAACGAAGAGCTTCTGGATCTGCTCCTTGGTGTAGCAGTCTCTAGACCCATTAATTTAGCAACCACATTATTAGAACTCTGTGTCTGTCTATCTTCAACAAGCTCTTTTGACATCTCTTGAGCAATGAGTTTTTTGATAGATTCAGTAGTTGTCTCCTTGGCTTTGCTAGAACTAGTTGTCTTCAAATCAGACATAACATGAGTGAAAGAAAGCTTCTCAAACTCAGCTTCAGTATGACCTCACTGAATCTGCATTTACCAGATTTCGAAAATTCAAGAAAATCAAGAAAAGCAGAAGGGGAAGAACAAACTCATAGAAAATTCAAACTTATTGCAAATCAGAAGCGGAAGAAACAGACAGAGATCAGATTCGGTTTCAAAGTAAGAGAACTCAACATCGGAAAAGTGAGATCGGAGAACTTTTTCTGATTTACTCAGTGAAAAAAGAGAAAGATAGAGAATGACCTGGTAGTAGGTAGCTAGAATTAGAGACATTGTCAAGCTCCGTCGGTGTATACGTCGCTGGAGATATAGCTTCGCCGGAGAAGATTTATGTGAATCGAACAGGTACACAGGGAGCTTTTAGGGGATGACGTTTTGGTACTAAAAACTAAAAAGGGGCTTTTTTATTATTAGAGGGAAAATTGCAAAAATGATATTTTTCTTATATATATATATTTATTTATTTAATACGTTTCTTTTTTTTTGTAATTAAAGTTTTAATAAATAATCAAGTACGAATGTATCTATAAAAATTAAATAGTATATGGTTGAAGAACATTACTATGCTTTGTTGGCATGGTTGCATCATATGGTTTGTCTCAACTAATATATACAAGATGATATGTATTACTAAAATTTTGATATTCATCACATAATTAACCTCAATTTTATTTTTACGTTTTCTAATTTTTATTACGATAATTGGTTATAGTGGTAACTCTTATTAGCTTCTTTAGTTTCTTTTCTCAATCATTCTATTAATTGATTAATATTTATTTTTGTTTGGAAACTAAGTCGTAAGTTTGTTTTATATTTTGTCTAATTTTTCAACACGATTTTTTGAAATGAATAGTTGAAATGAATCAAAATGATTATACCAAATGCATTTTGGAGTTTCAGATATAAGCAGATAGCCAATAAAAAGTGTGTGAAAGGGGATATGCAGTAATCTGTTAGCCTATAAATCTAAAGATATCATGATTATTCTTCACTCTTTCATCGAAATTGTAATATTTTCTATATTTGCGTAATCGGTTGTTTTGAAATGTTCATGTATCTTTTAAACAATTTCTGATATTAATATATTTGATTTGCCGAAAAAAACTAATAGAGTAGTTTTATAAATAAATAAAAATGGTAAGTTAATTCTCCATAAGAATATTATGATTTGTTTATATTTTGTAATTTATTGTACTAATGATGTGAAACTTGTGTAGTTGGTTGAAACCTTAAATGAAAATAAGGAAATTAACAATATATATATTTTTCTATCTAACTAAATATAAATTGAGAAAAAAATAGATGTCATTATATGAAACATCGCAGTTGCTAATAAATGATCTAAGAATCAACAAAAACAATAGCATGTTATATGTTTTATCAAATATATGCAAGCAAATATAGAAGAATAATGATAATCTACTCTAATATGTAATTTCATATACCCAATATAATTGGGACCAGGAATATCTTTAATGGACCAACCAACTCATTCTCTTAATGTCTTTTTTCTTGTCCAAATGTAACATCCCAAAACAAAAAAAACAAATTGAGGTGCAATATTTTTCAATATTATTTTGAATTTTATGGATCAAGCATTTCTACAAATTTTGTGGTAATTACATGAAATGACAAAATTTAGAAAAACAACGTATTAATTTTTACCTATTTTGAGTGACTTTACTCCTTATATTTATTTACCTAATCACATCCATATATAATGATATCACGTTCATTTTTCTAATTATCATATTACTATATGTTTGTAAACACTTGGATCTCATCTCATTCTCTATAACTTGATATACTAGACTCCTTTTATAAATGTTTGGTTGGATGTCATTTCCATTTATTATATGTTATATTCCGAAATTTATAAAGATGATTTTCTTACAAAATCAAAGAATGTATGATTGAGTATGTCAACAGATTTTAAATATTTTTTTTCCTTTTTAATACTGTAATAGAAAATGACATTGTGATTACCCTAGTTATGCTAGTGTACGCTACAAACAAATAGGTTTATAAGAATATGTAGAATATAAGTCTAAATATTGCTTAAACATGCGATACGTAAAGACTCTATGAAACTAATTAATAATTAAAGTTGAAACTCTACTACTGTATTTTATTAATTTAGTTATAATGTATCTACTAAGACAAAGAAAAAAACATTGTGGTAAGAAACTTTTTTTTCTTGTTCTTCCAAAATAAAGAAACCAAAACCAAAACCTATCCCAAATTATTAAACTAAAGCCTTTCTATAAATAGCAATATAGACAACAACGTGGACACATCTCCACGCTTTGATTAGTTATCGTTTCACATGCATCATGATGATTCACGAACCGGCTTTTATAAACCAAAAGGAGCCATCAAACTTTCAACTATTCCCAACCGGTTCGTAGAACTTCGGTTCGATTTGCATTAACTGCGAGCTAACTTTTCGACCCAATTTGACGTGCACCCTTGGTCAAAACTAACCGTTAGATTTTGGTTTATAGGTGTTTGTATTTATGGAAATTAAGAGTATTAAACTATAAGAAATAAATATAAAAATGAACTGTTTGGGTCAGGAAGCTGTCAGCAAAGAGATGACTGTGGCAGGTTCACACCAAGTTTGATACTGTTCTTCTCTTAGTTTAACTATTAAAGATTGTTGTGACAAAAACTATAAACATTAGTGCTAAGTTGTCTTAGATCAGTTTCTGCATAAGCAAGAAATATATATATTTTGAAACTCAAGAATTTCATTTGCAGAGGCTTCAGAAGTTTTAGTTTAAGAATCTGCAAAGCTTCTTGTGAAAATATCCATGCATTGTGATCATCATCTTAATAGAAACAAAACTTAAACAAGACTAAAAGAATTAGCTAAGTAATTTTGTCTAATAAGGCTACTAATCCCACCTTAATCTCGTTTAAGAAAATGAGTTCCAACTACTTTGGTAGTTGAGAAGGGTCAAAGAGAGATTCATCAACAACAACAAAAAAAAACAGAGGTCATAAACAAAAAGAAGAAAAATCGTCAAGAATGGTGACCAATTACTAATGTCCCCATGAATAACTTTCATTTAAACGATCTTTTAACATCTCAACCATATATCCTCAGTCTATGTCGAATCATATCCTTCATCTATATCTCCTTCAATCAATTCATCAGTAATGTAGTTTGGACAAGAACTAGATATCATCAATTCCTATGTCTTTTGACTTAAATGTGTTCATTAAAACGAATGCAGAACAAGGACATGACACAATAATCTTCAAAAGTCAGAGAGATGCTGACCTATGGCAACCAAACTCGGTTCGAATAGTTCGTCTCGGTTGTTGCTGCTTTAAGCTCGTAGCCATTCTATGAATCAATCCAAGCTTGAGGTGATTGAAACTGAAAGGGTATCAAATCATGAGACTTAAAACGAGCACTCTGTGTAGGACTTGACGCTTCCAACAAATGTGAATTGCTGACGCTGGAATATGGGAAGGATACTATTTCATATCCAGGGACTTTAAAAGGGCAATGATCCACTGGAGAGTTTGAAAAATTATGATAGTATGTGTAGTCTCTGGCTAAAGAGTCTGAGCTATCTGTTCGGTGAGATGTCTGGAGAATCTGATTTGCAGCAACTGCATCTTCGTCATCAATAATATGCCTCTCGAGTTCATGCTCAAAATGGCTAGTTATCTTTGTTGGTGGTAAGAAGAAACTGCCTGAAGTGTAATGAGAGAGCAGAGGTAAAGGGTCCAGCTCCCTTGCAACCAAATCATGGGATGGTGAATATTCAGAGCTCCATGGATTATCAGTCAGTAATGAGGATGCATTTGGATACGTGATAAGTCTTGTGTGATAACTAAGTGGATAATCATCTGTCTTTCTGGTGCTTGCGGTTTCCGTATTCCACTCGAGAAGTAATGCAGATGAAGGGTCTCTATGTTCATGTGATAAGTCCTCTGAGCTGTATCCACTATCTTCCCTATGATAATTCAGTGAAACAGGATTGCAGTTTCTGAAATGGAGCCTAGATATGGGAGAACGCTCCAAATTTTCTTCAACAGGAAATAACTGGCACGCCTTCTGTTTCAACAGTGGAGGTCTATAGACTGATTCCTTAGGATATAGGATGGGAAAGCTAATCTCTTCAGGTCGATAAACTGATTCCTTAGGATATAAGATGGGAAAGCTAATCTCTTCAGGTCGATAAACTGATTCCTTAGGATATAAGATGGGAAAGCTAATCTCTTTGGGATCTCTTGGCCTGATACTGCTCTGAACATGACCTGTTGAAAACTGCAGCCTCGGGATAATGTCTTTTTCCAGCCATCCCTGCCAAGAGATCAATCTGTCCCTTTCCATTTGCAGACTGTAGTCAACTTCTGTATAGCTTTGATGAGACCTCTTGAGAAACTTTGAGCCAGGAGAATCAACAAACGTTCTTCTATTGACTCTATCCGTCCTCTCTGTGGAAAACCTAGAGGGCTGTGAGGAACAAAAAGTGCTGAGGATTGATCGAGATAAGCAATTGACAAGTACTCAGAGATTCTATCAGGCTTACATGTGTCTCCTCCGTATCAGGGAATAGCCGAGTTAAGAGAACAGAAACTAAATCGTGCCTGAATTTTTTTTTTCTTGTGAGAGTGCGTTATAGAAACAAGTATTGATATTTAGATAAGTTAACAACTATTGTGTACCCGTTTCCGTTTGAGGTAACCTCAGGGATTTCAGAAAACAATGTATCTTTGACCCACTGATGCAGTTTCTTTCTCTTCATAAAGAATATGTCTCCTTTCTCATCACTGATTCCTGGGAATTCAAAACTACAAAATCATGTTTCTTAATTATTGACCAGTATGTTTTGCTTCTTTGAATTGTAAGACCAGTCTAAGAGCTAGGAAAGAGCTAGGGAATCCAAAGTCTACCTCCACTTGCAGATCTCAGGTTGTTGCCACTTGGAACTGAGTCCTTATCTCTACTGAATGATGAAGAAGATTTCCCCGGATATTTTTCTATAAACAGCAAAAAAAAAACAGAAGAACTTAAACGGATCACACTACTTCCCAAATATACATGTGTAAACAAAATTGACACATATATCATAATAAGATACAAGAGGGCATATCATGTAGCACAAACATACACAAAGAAATCGAAGTAACAGTTCCCGGTAACAACCTCTAACCATTTGAGTCAAATTGACAGGTACCATAGCAGAGCCACATGAACCACGTCTAGCACTATGAATGGGTGTGGAGAAGCTATAACTCTTGGATCTATCATTAGCTTCACGGTCTGTTTCTGCTGCATATTCTGACATTTAAAACAGAAGAAATTCAAAATCCAAGCCGACATTATCCATCAATCACAAGAGAAATATGATAAACCTCAAATGTTACCTCCAGGTTTGACTCTGGATTCGAAAGTTTTCGGATTTTGCTCGACTTTATTTGATGATTTATTAGAGTCAGAAGAATCAGAGGAGTGACCAAAACCAGACTTTAACTTCTTAAAGAAAGCAAACTCAGAGGTCTTGGCATCAATAGCTGCAATGCAAATGACCAAAAACACTTAGGGATTTACAATCAAATTCAACAATCTAAAATCTGAAATTATTCGGAGTGAAACCATGGGTAGACGCGAACACTCACATCGTCCGACCTGAGCTTCGTTTAAGGAGCTCTGATGATCGACATCGTCGAAACTCACCCTTCTCCTGCGTTTCAAATCTAAAACCAAAAGGATTGAACAATTCGAACACACACACCACAGAAAACACTCACGAAAACGAATCGAGGTTTTATAAGACCTGAATCTGCTCGAGAGATCGACGGATCAGTAAACTTTAACCCATTTTTTCGTGGATCGGTCTTCTTCAGGGTTTCGTCAGCTTTCGTTCGGTGATTCCTTCTTCTCATCACTGATTAACCTAAAAACCGTCGCGGAATCTTGGATCACACGCTGCTAATTCGCGAAGGCGATGAAGGAGGAAGGAGAGATTTCATATCACGCGTCCATGGCGATTCAGAAGAATTTGAAATCGGAGAAAAAGAAGACAAATGAAATTTTGGCGGCAAAAGCAACCCTAATTTACAGAAGATTTGCTCGAATTATTATTAATTTATTTTTTATACACGTCATCACATTATCCAGACGATATTGATATGTGATCACACGTGTCATATCACAAGTGGTGAAAACGATTCGTTTTAACCCCAAAACAATCTCAAGCTTTTGTCCTCATTTCTCTCTGTTTTTTTTTTTTTTTGATTTCGAGCTTTAACGGATCAACACATCGAATTAACAAATCACAACACAGATGGCGATGACGTCAGCGGCTACCGGATTTATTATGACGGCCAATGTCACGGTGGCTTTAGGCGGCGGAGGTTCTTCTAAGAGCGCCACCGTCGTTTCTTTCTTGCCAATGAGAAGCTTCGGTTCGAGGCTAGTAGTCAGAGCGGCGGATGATGCGTCTCCGGCAACCCCCTCGTCGGCGGATTCTTCCACCACCACCGCCCCTGCTGCTGCTACGAAGGAAGCTCCGGCCGCCAAACCTAAACCTCCTCCGATTGGCCCCAAGAGAGGATCCAAGGTCACATCTTCTTCACCTATTCATACATAATCTATGCATGTTTCTACTTCGTGTTTATTCTGAGACAAGTTTTGGACTATGAATGTATCTACGAAGAAGTTTCTGGTCAAATTATAATAATTTTACAGTTATGGGGTCAATGTCAATGTTAAACTATTAGTAGAATCTTCTCAAGTAAACTTACAAGTCCCAGTGTTAAACTTATATGATAATTCAAGTTTACTTGAGACGATGTAAGCTAAATATTATGGTATCATCAACAAGTTCTGGATCTATGTAGAGCATCTTAAGAGTTTTGGTGTTAATGTGAAATTTTGGGGATTTGCAGGTGAAGATTCTAAGGAAAGAATCCTACTGGTACAAGAACGTTGGATCAGTTGTGGCAGTTGATCAGGTAATGCATCTATTTTAGAAGTTTACTATCTTACGGTTCGAATTCATCTTATACTCCGCCTTATATTGACAGGACCCGAAGACCCGATATCCGGTTGTGGTTCGATTCTCGAAGGTGAACTACGCAAATATATCGACCAACAACTACGCATTGGACGAGATCGAAGAAGTCAAATGAGAGACTTGGTTTATCTCCAAGTCGCTTCATCTGTTTGTAATCTTGAATCAAACCGTATGTACCAAAAAGTTTACCAACAATTCATCTTTTATCTTTTACACTCTCAAGATCGATTTCCCATATGCATTTAGCGACATGAAATTGGTTGCAAACTCCACAACTCCGGTTTAGTAACAACACCGGGCCTGACTGTTTGTTTATGTGCTTGGATTTGAATTACATGGATAGAAACAAAATAGATTCTTATTGAAAATCTCTATATAGACAAATAAATTCAAACACCAAATCATTACGTATTCAATCATTTATTCAGAGGTTCTGATCAAACAAAAAGGAAACATGAAGAAATCTCCAAACAGTTCAATCTCTAAATCTCTCTAGCTCTGACCTGTTTTCCCATTGGCTTCAGCTAAAATTGCCTCCAGCTCTCCTTTATTGTACAGCTGCAAAGTATCTGTTCAACAATAGTGATATGCAGATCAAGTTATCAGAAAAAACAACAAGACATTGAGTACATTATCTTGGTGGCCAATTCACACAAAATCATTCTGAGAGTGTACCTGAGCAGCCACCAATGTGCTTGCCTCCTGGTCATGGAAAAAAACATCATATCAAAATTAAATTCGTTATAGTGATGGTCTCGTAAATGCAGTTTAGTGTTTGCTAACATTCTGTTTCCAGGAAGAGAATAAAGAAAAATATCGGAGTGTAGTAGCTGATGCAGATAACTAACCGATGAAAACATTGGGAACAGTGTATTGTCCAGTAAGTTTCTCCAACACATTCTGCAGCTGTGACCCCTCTGAACCTGGAAATGTCAAAAACCACCAAAACATTTGTACCAATACCATGAGACAGAGATGGTTTACCCAAAAACACAAAACAAGACAACAAAGAACAAATGTATTTCGGAAAGTCACCAAATCTTGACACGAGATAAGATTACGAAAAAAGTAGCAATTCGATAACAGTTGTAAGAAATAGAAGCATACAGTCTAAGATCAAAGGGAGGGAAGAGTCTTCAATGTGTAAGGTTTAAAGCCATTACAAATACCCTAACCGTTAATTGTTCATCAACAAGCCTTTCTTTTGCCCAAGTAAAACTACAGTCAAAGTAATATTACCACACTAGATACAAGACACAGAAAATCCAAAATGTAAAGGTATCTCGAGCCTTTAGAAACCCCCTAACCATCAATCCTTCATCACTATCTAATCCACAACCATTAGCAACCAATTCAATTAAATAATCAAAATCAACTGTACGAAGAACAAGAACCATATATACTTGGAAACAAGTATGATACTTCATCTAGTCTAAATGCTAAAAGTGTAAAACAATATGTTACTTTTAACACGCTTTACCTTCACCGCCGATCTAAACAATATCACAAATAAGCAAAAATAATCAGACCCATATAAGGAAGTAAAAATACAATTCAGTGATGTAAACATTACCAAGTTCATCCAATTCAACAACCAGTGGCTCAACTTGAAGACTCTTGAACAACGACTTCACTTCAGACGAGTATCTTCACCACAAGAAAAAACCCATTTCAAAATTAAGCAAAAGTATCAATATTGATATCAGGAAATCAAACTAGGTAATCTATAAACAAAACCAATTCCTCTAATTGAACAAAAAAAAAGCATTGTGATTTACAAAGAAGAGTGAACATACGAGCACCAGGATTTGGAGTAAACAACGACAGGGTTCTCTGCCACAGTCGTTTTAACAGTCTCCTCCAATGGGGAAGACGATGACGACATGGCCCTAACAGAAGAACAACGTTGTGGTGGCCACGACGCGACTCCGATAACAGCCGGCTTCAAACATCTCCTGAAAGGTACTATGCCGAAGTTTTTAATTCCCCTTAACATGGAGAAAGAGAGTGCTGGATTTGAATTCAGAGACGTCCATGTCATGTTTGCGAGGTTGACTGATGCAGCTACCATGGCGATTTCTTCCTCCGGATGGTTCCTTTCTTTTGGTTTTGGTTTTGGTTTTGGTTTTGCCCTCAAATTATATGACCACTCTCTTTATATCATACACATCACATTGCCGATATTTTTTCTTTTTCTTTTTTTTTTAGATATCACCAATAATACAATAAAACTCAATATTAAGAAAGTATCTATCTGTTTCTAAAATTCATGCTATAGTGTTTATTCCTCTTAAGTTTTAGGACTTTTTCACAGATATATAAAGATAACAACATTGATAAATGATATGACAAAAAGTGACTACTAGTCTTTGATGAGACATTTAAGACAGTAACAAAGATTATTCAACACCCCAAATAGGATTTGTGTCTGCAAAATCCAATCTATTGAAAGTACACAAAACAAAACATGTGCTTTCTCTCCTTCACCTCTTTCTCTTGAACCATTTTCCATCTCAAGATGACCCTTCATTGTTTGGCTCACGAATCTGGATAGACGTTTTCGACAAGCTTGCTTCCAACTCGTCCAGCTCATCCATGTCTAGATCGTCATCATCATCATCGTCTTCATCTTCTTCATCTACTTCTTTCGAACTTTGTTCAGCATCACCACTACTCTTGCTTGTCCCTGCTTCTGTTTCCTTGTTCTTTGCCTAAAAAGCAAAATATAAAGATTCCATTAATATGACTTGGTTGGTTTAAATAATAAGTGAGAGAGAGAGAGAGAGATCTCACCTTTTGTTCAGTCTCTTCCTGCTCTCTTTCCCTCTCGTATTCTTCACAAGCCTCAGCATCATCCACAAACAAGCTTGCGTTGGACAAAAACAGCTCCCGACCACTGAGATTCAAAACCCACACAATGAATCAGCTCATGAAGACAAAACAGAGTCACATTGGAGATGGATATGCAACAGAATGATGAATGGATTACCTCATACGGTCGTTCTTAGCTCTCTCTGCTTGAGAAGCAGCCAAACCAGCATCTCTCTCAGCTATTTTCTTCCTCTTCCATTCCATAAATAGCGCAGGAGTCATTTGTGTTGCGGTTTGCAGTTTTGCACGCTGAAACATAGAACAAAAAATGTGGGTCTTGCAAATTACGTTCATGGTCCTACAGCTATGAGCAGATTGGGAAAACAGAAGAGAATTAAACCTCGTTTTCGATTTCGTCCTCAACTGCCAACTTCTTTGATGACTCCTCTTCCAAGAGGGCTTTCATTTGAGATTTAAGGACATATCCAGGAGGAAGAGCGTGTCTGTAATGACACTCTTTGCCACCATTGGGGCATGACCAGAACCACCCATACTGTTTCTTTTCCACAGCATCCAGAAAATACTTGCAAACCTGTTATATATCAGTAAACAAAAAAAATAATTAAAAGTCAATGAACTCAGCGAGACAAGTAATGTGTTTAAGATAACTTTGTGCAAATGATTTATTGAGATTACACGCAAGGATTTCACTTCATTTTACATAGAATTAGGTAACTACATAGCTAAGAAACAATTATATCGAAATTATGATTAGCACTACCATCAGCACAAGCATGGGTTCCTGCAGGCATGGTCCAAACGAGCAGAAAACAACAAGGGAACAACGGAGGCAAAATGACATCTAAGACCCAAATGGCTCCCAAGATGAACCGTGCTATTAGCTAAAGGAAGCACATCATAAAGTGAATCCATATCAGCTAAAACTTAATCATAGCAAAACAAGCAAATGCAACCGAAACTAATGTATCACTTCACATAATACAGGTTAAAGGCTGTATATTTGAACACAAATTAGTTCAGACTTTTACAGAGTGCATTAACAACAGGAAAGTTAGTATTAAGCATGTGTTATGATACAGGAAGCCCTCAAGCAACATGTTCGGATAAGCATACAGTTAAAACTCTGAGATACACAAAATAAGAGAAACTACTTACAATATCTGTTGGCTTATTCTGATTATATTCATTTTTCTTTGATTCCACAACCTTTTCAAGGGTCTCTTGATCCCACTCATCCATATCTCCATCTAAAGCAATATAAATAAAAGCAAAATAAGAACATCATCCAAAGGACCGAAGGGATGGACATATAAGCCACTTTGTGCCACACTAAAGGTTTTACCTTCATCACGCTTATCGCTGTAAATATCAATCTTCTCACCCTTCCTTTGAATGTTCAAATCATGAGAAAATTTGCACTTGAAACCCTTTTGACACTGCCCAGCCTTGAAAAACTCACACAGTATAGACTTTGGATCCACACCTACCAAGATACATCCCCAAAAACAACCACCATAATCAATACATACTATCTAAACCAAGGTGAACGAACTAGAAACAATATCAACAACAAGACAGAAGTTTTCAGTTAAGACATTCCATGAAAACACATACATACCTACAGGAACTTTCGGCTGACTAATAGCTACCTTGAACAACTCATTCAATTCCTGCTCTCTCGCTTTCTCTTCCTCTTTCTTTTTCTGTCCTCAAAAGCATTAACAAAACATGTCTTGGTAAGAATCTAACCGACTAAACAGTGTAACTTTTCAAAAAATAGATTTATCTTTCTCACTCATCAGGAATATTCAAAACATCTCTACTTCACTATCGAACTAACTTCAATCCATCAAGAAAACTCAAAACCCATATGAGGAATCAAGTGGTTACCTTAGCTGCGGCCTTAGATGCATCGGGTTTAGGCTGGACAGATTGCTTGAGACTCTGAACATACTTCTGAACATTCTTGCTCTTGTTCTTATTTTTCAACCCAAAAGTTTTGTCTTCCACTTGTTTCTGCTTCTTAGCCAAATCGGCCTTTGGTTGTTGCTTTGGAGGCATCTTCAAAACGCGTTAAATCAATCCCAAGAAGACAAAAAAAAACACAAACTTTTTTATTGTACACGGATCGATGGAAGGTTCACTATAGCTAATGTATCAAAATTAGGGTTTCTAAGGTTCTGAGTGAAGACGACAACCCAAATTTAATCGGAAAAAAAAAAACAAAAAAATCCCCAGAATTTGTATGAAACCAAAACGGCGGAGACTCGGAAAAAATTACACAGAAGCAGAGAGAGAGGAGAGACCCTAAATGAGTAATTACCGATCGAGATAGGAGGAGAAAAGAAAAGAGATGACACTACAAAGGTACAACATTTGCCTGATTTTAGCCATTTGTCTACTCCTCAAAACACACTAGCTTTTACCACTTTTGGGCTCACCTAAACATCAGTGGGCCTAATTCAAACGGCCCATTTGTAGTAACTTTTAAGGCCCAGCCCTTAGGAGTAAGCTTGTGAATGTGATACCTGATCAATGAATGTCAGTCAATTTCTTTTCATTTGTTTTTTAACCAAAGTTCTTATTAAAATATTTGTTTTCTTGTTGGTAATTTAAACAAGTGAAAAAAGTTTATAAACGAAAATTTGAGAATCTAGCTTTTTCGAATAGTGTGCTAAACAATCTGTCTTCAAATTACAAAATGATACAAAGAAAAATCGGGAAAAAATACATGAATTTGCTGAAAATTGTAGTAGATTAGAGAAGGCACGCCACAAATTTCTTTTCAATTTTTTGAAAAAAAAATAATGAACTGAATTGTAAATTATTTATTTAAGAAATGTTTTTAGTGTTAAAAAATTGTTTTTTCCATTAAACTTGTTTCCTTTTGTACTGATGCATTTCGGTATTTCACCGCAAAAAATAAATAAATAAAACCAATTGACGACAAAAAAAAAAAAAAAAAAAAAAAACCAAAAAGAAATAAAATTATATTTAAATTAGGAAAAAAGAAAAAGGCTGCACTACACTAACAAGAAGAAACCATTAGCCAAGCTTGTCTCTTTTTCTGTTTAATCCCAGCAGAATAACATATATATACTCTTATAGTCTTATGAAATCTCTGGGATGATTAGAGAGTTACATCGATAAATTAATCAAGGAATCGGCGATTCTAAAAAATTCTTCGCAGCAATTTTCTCATAGATTCTTCCCTCATGTTTTTGGATGGTGTTCTTGAAGGGTGCAGTTTTGGTTCCTCTGGGTTACTATTGCAAGAAAACGAAAGCTGGATTTTCCAGAAGTTCCTCAGCAGGTTTCACTTGGGCAAAGTCCTTATCTTGCATTGAACTGGATAAGTCATCGATCGAGAAGGAAATGATGTTGCTGCGCATGGTCAAGAAACAGTTCTGTTAGTTTATAGAAAGAAAAAGGACATGACTTTAAAGCATAGAAGCAAAAGATAGATACTTTACCTAGAATCCTCTTTTAACAAGAAGTCGCTGCTATCTGTCATAACTCCTGTCATGCTTGCAATTACCTGTTCATCAATGAGCGAGCATTAAACTACTAGATCAGAGGATCTTAAAGAGCATATATGTCAAGGGAAGTGAACTATTTCCTCAGAAAGCTTACATCTTGGGAAACACTCTTTGTGTTGTAGATTTCATCCTTGTACAGAGTACATAGTTTGAAATGCTGCTGTATTTGAAGGTTCTGAGTGAAGGAAAAATGATGTGGGCGTTATTACAATGTCGAATATCATCAGCTGACGGAAAAGAGTTGGTCGATAGAGAGACTTACTGGACACAGATCATTTGCAATTTCATCGTATGAGATGTGGTATTTCTTATGGATGAGCTGTTGCAGACGCAAATTCAAGGGGGATATCAAATTCAAATGATTCCAGTGATCTGCTTAGGCGACGTTTCTTAAATTGAAAATAATTTAAACCTACCAAAAATCCAACAGCTTGTCTGGTATGTTTGAGTTCCTCCCAGGATGAGCCAGCATACTATCAGAGACGGGTATCATAGGCGAGAGATTGTGTTATGTATAAACCAAATGACAGATAATAAAAGAAGATAAAGGAAACTATACTTGAGAATACCTCTTCTGTTGTCTCGGAGCACCATTTCTCTAACTTTTCTAAACCAGATTTTAGATATTCGCCGTTGATAAATGAACAGTTATCTGGTCGTGTGACAAGGCTGCAGATCGGAAAAACAAAGTTGATTAAAGTCTGTTTTTCATAGACATGCATATTCCGTACTAGACAATAACAATTTCTCACCTGTTACACAGTTGG